GTAACGTCTGGCACCTTGGCAATCATTTCGATGAACGAGGTACGTGCCCCGTTATGAAATTGATTATGATAGGTGATCCTGAGTCAGAGACAATAATTGCTTGGCATTGTTGGCAGTTGTTCTTAATCACCTTACGTCATAATATGCATAGGGCCATGGCACGTGATAACAACTCATAGGCTCATGGGCTCATGGTCTGTTTAATTCAATGGTTCCAAGATGAAAAGACCAACACCGTGAACCAACCAACACCAGTGCATGAAAAGATTCAGAAATTCAAGAACTGACGATGGCGTCCTGCTGTCAAATACCAATGCATCAAGGCCGGCCTTTGCGGTGAGTTTCAAGTTCGGATGATCTTCGCGATCTGGCAAATTCCATGCTTCATAGAACGCTTCGGTCCTCTGAAGAGTCATCAAATCACATTTCTATGGTTTTGTTTCGGCCTGCTGCGGCTACATACGCTCAGCTTAGCTACTGTTAAGTTGCTATTGAGTTTAATGTCTCTGCCTAGGGGCAATGTACCAAATGTAAGTGCAAGGTAAGCCGTTTCCCCGCGGTCACTGTCAGGCGCCCGAAGCCAAGCCTCGCCCCTGACACCACGAATAATACCTTTGCTTTGCACTGACTTCGTGTACTCAGCCAGAACGGTATCCTGACGGCGGCTGTTGAGCGGATGCCGGCAAATGTGGCGATGCTGATCGTTCTCCGAAATGAAGAATGGTACGTTCTTGATGTTCGGGACCTCTGGGTGACTGGATGGACTGGATGGATGACTCGACTACATTATCAAGGAGTAAATCAAGGAATCGGAATCAACTAAACAAAGACTAAACAACTTTCACTTCCTGGTTAATTAATAGTATAGATAGTGGTAGTGATAGGCCTTGTACACTCGGATAATCTCGTCAACGAGCTCGCGTCCTGCCTGGACCTCTGTCCCGAATATTTCTGTGAGTGATGCATCCGGAACATATGTCTTCGCTGGGTTGGCCTCCAGCTTCTTGCGATTGTGAGGTTCGAAGCTGACCGGACCGTTGGACGGAGCACTGGCACCGGCACGTGCCGGCTTGCTGAGACTCATGACTGACTTGATTGGCAGCCGAAGAGTTGGGAAGATGCACAAGACAGAACCTGTCGGTCGCAACAGCAAAGCTTCGGAGCCAAATTATGCCGAATCATTCATGCAGCAGCTCATGCTGAACGGTACAGGTGGCTTGCAGTCAACGGAAACATGAAACAAGCTGCACATGCAGATGTCATGCTCTTTCTTGTCTAGACTTGCAAAGATCTGAGTTGCGACAACAACTCTCTACACTGCCGCTGCGCGAACACGAGCTGATTGCCAACACGAGTCACAGCAGGGCTAAAGATGACTTCGGAGACCGCTGCAAACAACACACACAGGCAGACACACAAATCCATGCATGACTGCATTGATACATGTGACCCAGTGACCCAGCTAACATGATCTCCGCGACTTCACTGTGCAGTGCAACACAGCAACACATCACCGGCTGTACACTCCAAAGATGATGTGCTAACTCACTGATGCAGATGCATGTGTGATATAGAGATCGAGCAGCTATGGCCAGGCTATACGACTTTCTTAATCACATGCTGATGCTGGACAGAAGAAATCTGCCGCAGCTCGCCAATGAACTTCAGCAACTTTGGGTTCATATCCACTTGCGACCAGACGAAAAGCATTACCACTCCAGCAACATGAACATGCATTGTGTTTCCCGACATTCGACACACAGACTGTCGGCTTGGCCACTCATCACACTGTGGGTCTGCATGTCTGCATCTTACAGCAAATGAGCAACATGCTCTCTGAAACGAGAACCGTGGCAATACTGGAAACCCTTGCAGCACAGGAAGTTCTCTGACAGTCAGCCAT